CTCAGGATATAGTGTCCTGAAAAATATTCATCATTTTTTCCCCCAAGGAGTCTACATGCTGGCAGGTGGAGAGGTCAATACATGAGAAATCGAGTGCAGTATGTAGTTTCAGGGAGCAATCAGTGCTATGAAAAGGGAAAAATAAGGGCTCTCCCTGGTGGCACAGAGGGTTAAAGCACACCACTAAGTAGCTAAAGCCACTTCTGCATGAGTTTGATCCCTGCCCCGGAGGTGACCCACATGGCTCGGCAGCCCTCTCCTGACCCGCCTGCTGCTCCCCTCAGCAGTGTACTTCCTCAGTTGGCCTGTTCTGCTCCCCACTCTGTCTCTGGTGAAGCCTCTCATTGCCTCTACACCTCTGGCCTGTACCCCAGTTTTGTATGCATAAATAAATAGATCTTTAAAAAGAAAAGAAAAGGGAAAAATAGTAAAGCAAGGAAATTACAAATGACGGTGTGCTAATTTAAAGACAATACAATCCATCTTACTTTTCTTTTCCTCTGTGAAGAAATCACACGACTCAGATTCTGCCATCATCTGCCTTCCGAGTTACATGCCCTCTTTCTCTAAAATATATTCTGCAGGACGTTAATACCTGCTGTATTTTTTTTTTTTTTAATATGTGTTTGTTGGAAAGAGGAGGGTAGTTCCATGGTTAAAGAAGTATGGAGAAAGTTGGAGTGAACAAAGTGAAGCGGGTCTTCACCGAAGGTTTTCTCTGATTACTTACCATGCTAGTACGAATTGTAAATACTCACCAAGGGGCAGGATAGTATGCAAAGTTTTCGAATTTGTTTTCCTCCAGGGAATCCTTTCAGCCTGGACTGTCTGTAGCCAGGGGCACTCTGTGTAACACACACCCTGTGGGAAATGTGTTCTGGAGTTCTCATGCCACAAGAGCACCAAGTGACACGCAGGTTCAGCTGCTTGGAAGACAAAGGGAGTGGAGGGGCCTCTCCTTGTTGTCCCTCCAGTAGGTGGATAACTCACTGTACCCAGACAGGACCACAAAGCACAGTCTCTCACCAAGCTTGCCAGCCCTGTGAACCGGTCTTATCCTCCTCCCATTATTGGTGGGGAGAATCCTGCTAGGAGAAATCAAATATGCAGTCACACCATTTTTCACAGAGCCTGCTTGCTTGACTCCAGCATCCAGATCATCACAGTATACACAGAGCTGTCTACGCCATGGTGGAGGGTGGACTGCTGCCCAGCCAGCAAACCCTGTCCCTCTCCCACCAAGCCATCAGCATCTCTTCTGCACCCCAGGCGCCTCCTCTGCAGATGGATTTCTGTTTCTTCTGTATTGTCTGCATTGTTTCTTGCCCCATCCAAGGGTCATAGCCCCACAGGCCCTCCCCATAAACTCAGTAGGCGGGGCCAGATGGCTGTGACCCTGTGTGACCCCAGTCAGAGCGCTCTACTGAAACTCTCCATTTACTGCTTTTTCTTTTCCTGGTATTATTTTCCCACCCTTCCTTCCCCTGCAGCCACATATCTGAATTTTCACTGCCTGCTACATCTCCTGGAAACTGGGGGCCCAAATACGTACCTGTACTTCTACCAGGGCACCCAGACTGGACAAGGCTGCAGTGGCAGTGAGGTCAGTTCTGTGAGGGCCATGGAATGTGGAGGGGAGCCAGCTCACGATAGGTGGAGTCCTCTACCACATCCAGTAGGAGAAAGTGGGAGATGTCTGTTTTTACGGGAAAGAGCAAATGCGTATCTTTCAGGAAGGGCTCTGACACAGATTTTCTCTCTCACGGTCCTCACCTTCCTCTCATGAGACTGCCAGGGAATTTGGTAGAGGTTAGTCAGTTCTATTAATTCACTACTATCTTGGAAGGGGAGATAGTTTCTTCCTGAGCTTTATGCTCAGAAACTGCTCACTGCCCTCTCATAAACACTTCTTTTCCTGTGCCCCCCTCCCTGTTTCTATGCCTGACCTTGCCCCCTCATGACACTCAAGTTGGAAACATGGCCCCTTTCACCCCACCTCCATTGGTGACAGCCCTGTCAACTTGCTACGGACAAGGAGGAGGAATCCTAGAATCCCCTAAGCTGCCCGTTCTTAATAGGTTCTGCCATCTACCGTATCAAGACAAAACTTTGTATGACAACGGGGAAGAACTTTAACAATTAGTGTGCAACACAGAAAAGGGGAGGAATGGGGGAGAATAGAGTTTTCAAATCAAACATTCATAGTTGGCCGTCCCCTCGCGGATGTATGTCCAGCCCAGGAGGGTTGGTCCAAAGCAAGGCCTGAAAGCCTGCCACAAGGCTAACGCTCCTGCTGATGAGGACCTGTAGGAAAGGGGCAGAAGAGGACAGGTAAGTCTTGAAGGAAAAGAGCAAAATCAAAATCAAATCAAAGTTGCCATCGTTAACCTCCCACAGTTCTCTCACCCACATGTTTCAACCAGTCCAGGGTCAAAAAGCAAGGGCAGCTTCTTCACATGTCTCTGCTCCATGTGCCTCCTCCAGGTCGCCTTCTGGCTCCTCTCCATCCTGCTGCCTGCCTTCCCCAGTCTCCTCTCCAGCCTCTTCTCTTCCCTGCTCAGCCCCACCCTCCCTTGGGTGGGGCAGGGAACATGGCACTTTCCCCTTTCCTGGGGACCACGCTGTTATAAACCCACTCTCTGCAGGAGCCCCTGAATAAGTGCCTCCCAGAGCCCCACCGCCTCCTCTGGCCAGGCCCTCACTGGCTCTCCTAGGTTGTCCCAACAGCCTCTCTCGATGCCAGCCGTGCGCCGACACACTGAGTTGTTTCTGTGTGGAAGTCAGCCACAGGGTGCTGGGATTTTTAAAAACAGCCTTGAGCTGGGCACATAACTGAGTCCCATGCTGGACAAGGGGAATCTCTGAAGGGGGGAGAGATTTCCATATAAAGAAAGAGAAGATGACTGCAGATTGTGAGCATATCACAGACACTGGTGTGTGCTGTGAAACTGGAGTAGTATGACCTTGAATTTGAAGGGCAGAGTGTGTGGCAGCAGGTCTTGCAATTATCTAGTGATGCGTAATAAAGCAATGTGAGGTTTCATGCTTAAACAGTGGCATTTAGTCTGCTCAGGAATCTGCCATCTGCCCAAGGCTTGGTGAAAAGAGCTCATTTCTGCTCCAATTGGCACTGAAGGCTGTGGATGGAAGCTTCCAAGGTCTCATTCAGTCACATGTCTGCCAGCTGATACTGACTCTAGACTGAAACCTAATCTGGTTTCAATGGCCACCAGTGTGTGACTGTCCTGTTGGGAAGACTGGGCTTCCTTACAACATGGGGTCTGGGCTTAGAGGGTCCTAGGAGAGTGAGTGGATTCTCTATTGGTTTTGACAACCTAGCCTCAGCGGTCACATGGCATCACTGCTGCTTCATTTTCTTCACTAGAACAAAGCAGCTAACAGTGGCCCCTGTAGAAGGGGAGGGAGCGAAGACCTCATCTTTTGCACTCACCTTTGAAGAAGTGTCATTGTCCACTCCAGACATCTCAGGCTCGATCGCCTAAGCCAAGAATCTGCTAATGGGATATACTCAGGGTCCTCCTTTTCTGCCTTCAGTTTTCCCATTTGGAAGAGAGAGTGGGAATAGATCATTTTCAAAATTACATTAAGAACGCCATCAAGTAAAAGCTGTATAGTAGAGGATGGGAACTAGAGTGTTGGTGGGCATCATAATGTAGCTTATATTGATGTTAGATTTTAATGTTGCATACCTGAAACTTCTATGTTATAAACCAATTCCGTACAAATTGAAATTGAAAAGAGAGTTTCAGTATATAAAGTGGAGCAGAGTAGACCCTTGCTAAGGCATGAGGGCTGGATTGCTGCCTTAACCTCTGGTGCGAGCTTTCCTTCTGTCTCTGGTGATGAATGTGGTCACTGCCTGGGCTTGGGGCAGGAGGTAGTTTGGAGAAGTATTTAGTTTCATGGATGTGATCACTTCCTTGGCTCTGGAGGCTGCAGATATGAATGATGGCAAGCAGCTAGGGTTTGTCCCTATCAGTAGTCCCAAACTAATCTCTCAAAGGTAGGAGTGGGAGTCTGAAGTCCAGTTCCACCCTCTGGAATGGGTCCCCTGTGGAGCAGGTAGGCTCAGCTTTATAAGGAAATGGAAAGTGGAACTCCCCCACACACACACATACACACACACACATACCCCTGCACTCCTGAGATGCTAGCCTTCCAATTCAGGAAGAAACTTTGGCAGGTTATGAAACATAAGTGACCTATCTTGCCCTGGAGGAAAAGTGCAATCTCTAGAAGTGTCACGTGTGTGTGTGTGTGTGTTTGTGTGTGTATTGGGGTGTGGGTGTGGGTTCAATGTCAGGTAAGTGGTTAAAGGGGCTTAGGAATAAGGCACTCTTGGCTCCCCAGCTGAGAACCAAGAAGGCCCAGAGCTCAGCCTGGAGCTGACTGCTCATGTCCTAGACTCCTGTCTGTTCGCATAAACTTCAGAACTCACATTTACCCAGTTTTATCCAGGCAAGGCATTCAGGGCAGGGAAGGGCATAGAGAGCAAGACATAGGCCCCCATAGGCACACAAAAAAAAATACAGCCCCTGTTAGGGCTGATAAGGGGTAATTTCCAGTCTTGAGGACAGCCATTCAAGCCATGTGGTTTGGGGACTGCGTGGTGGTGCATCATTGGGGTGTTTGGAGTGGTCTTCTAGGTTGCACATTGGTGGGGGAGAGAGGATGAAGGACAGACCAAGAGAGTGGGGCAGTGTGACCTAGAGCTTCCCCTGGGGGTGATCTGAACTGGCAGGAGAGGGGCCGACATCCCTCACAGGATACAGAGAGGCAGAGTGGCAGCCTGAGGGTCTCTGAGGGCTGTCAGACAATTCAAAGGGCTGAGGGACCTGGGTGACTGACTGATAAGTCAGATCCTTCCCTGAGGGGACTCTCCAACTGTCACCATTATGGTGGAGTGATGGGATGAAATGAAATTAGAGGTCTGGGAACCCCAGGATGGAAGGCCTCACTGGCTCCTGGTCTCTCCCCAGGTGTTCGTGCTCTGCCATGGGATCCTGCAGCTCTGTCAGCTGCTGTATAGCGCCTACTTCAAGAGCAGTCTCACCACCATTGAGAAGCGCTTTGGCCTCTCCAGTTCTTCCTCAGGTCTCATTTCCAGCTTGAATGAGGTAAGCAAGGCTCTGGTCCATCAAGACCTCACTTGTGCTACACCTTGCCTGCTGGACTCCGAGGAGCAGAAGGGGAGCTGAATGTACGTGAGGCCACTGGAGACAACCAAGTCCTATGACAGGTGGACGCAGCAGGAACACTATTTCCGTGGCCGTTCCTGCTCGGTGCTGAGCACCTGGCCTGAGGTCTCCTCACCACGGTCCTGGGACCAGGTGCTCTGCTCCCCCACCTGACAGATGAGGACAGGGCAACTCATCAGGTGCTGCAGCTTTCTCCAGGTGTGCAGGGTTATCTACCTCTAATTGAGTGCTGTGATGACTCAGGAATTAGTGTGGCCTCTGCCTGTCCCCCAGTCCAGGAATGCAGGAGGGGTCGTGGGCGCCACATCTTCCACTATTCCTGCCCCCAAACTACACCCTTGTCCACAAGTCCTGTGGCCCATCTGAGTCTTCACAGACCCTTTCCCATCGGACTCCTATCCCACGTGCATTTCTTCAAGGTTTTTCTGTGAGTCTGTCTCTATATTTAATGTGTGTATGTTTGCATATATCTGACTGTGCATCTGTCTTGAGGTTCCCGGTGATGCTGTTACAGGGCACCCCAGTGTGAACTGGGCCTCCTGTCTGTGGGGCCTCACCCGCCTGCTTAAAATCCAGTTATACTGCAGGCACACACAAAAGGTCAATAATGGGTTTATTTACAAAAAGGGGAAAAGAAAAGGAAACAACTGGAATATCTTACTGGCTGGGCTGATTTGGAGCTCTGGTAACAAACTAACTGAAAGCGAAAGCCCCGAGTCACGTGGTCTGGAGAGCCATTTCCCAATCAAAGTCCCAGAATGCCTGCTTAGCTTCACCCTTGGGTCCTCGCAGTTCTCTCCCTGGTACTGCTGGGAGTTGTAGTTTTCAGTCACTGGAGTAGGGAGAAGAGTTCAGAAAGCTGGAGTAGTGGGTGGAGTCCACAAGGCTTTCCAGAGTTCCTTTAGGGCATCCTTTCCCTTAGCAATGCCTGGTGAGTGGCTTCACCTCTCCATATAGGTCATACTCTCTTCCAAGACAGGGATCCAGAATTCTGCACACAGTTTGCACCCTTTTAAATGTCAGCCTATGACTTTGATAACCCTGTGTGTAGGTGGGGCTCACTCACAAAGGGTAAAACGGAAAACAATTTCTGGCATTTGTCACCACAATCCTGCCCCATGACCCTGGCAGGGGTCAGCAATCAACCACAAGGCTGCTTTCTAGCTGAGTCCAGACCACTTCACAGAATTCTAGGCACCTCTACCCCACGGCAGAGCTGGCAGTTCAGCCTATATGCCAGTCATATTTATGATCTTCCGTGGGTCAATTTTCATTGACATTTTTCCTGTATTTTGGAACAAAAATGTGGACCTAGGAACAGAAGGATTTTTCAAAGGGCAGGGAGAAGCCAGCTGACATATACAGTCTGACAGGAAGTTAAGGAAATAAGGCATTTTATTCACCCAGGGCCATAATTCAATAAACAATGAGAGTAATTAACCTATTAAAGTTTTTCTTCTTCAAACCCAGATGAACTTTTCAAGAATCTGGCTTCAGATTCTACCTAGAGGCATGGTACTATAAGAAAACCCAACCTCTGTGTGCGTTTGTGTTTCTGTGTGAGTATATGCATGTGTGCATGTTTCTGTGCCCGTCTATGTATATGAATAAATGTGTGTGTATCTGGGTATGTGCATTTTTTGTGTCTGGTAGGGTTAGGGGCTGGGTAAATGAGTGCTGGAGAAGATAAGACAGGAATTTAGCTAGAGGGCTTTCTACAGTCCCGTTGATCCTAATCCAAATGCTTCAAAACAGCTCAGATAGTTAAGTAAGGTAAAGGCCAATAAAAAGCAGAGGGGAGCCAAGTCCCAGGAGACTTCATGATGGACCACAGACTCCCAGCTTTTGTGGTCAGGCAGCAGGAGGGAACCCACATGGCTGGAGTAAGTTAAACAAATCTCATAAAGATGAACCCTCTGGGAGAGGTGACCAGGGACAAGGTCACTGGTTGAGAGATGGTGCCCTAGGCCAGGCTTGGGAAATTGGGGAGACATGTGCCTCCAGTGATACCACACAAAAAAGAAAAGGCAGAATTTGACAGCTGCTGGAGCACAGGATTGAAGGCATCATGGCCCACGGGAGACTACCTGCTGGGAGCCTGAGGTGTGAGAGAGCCAGGCTGTGGAAGGAAGCTGAGGTCACCTGGACATGTGTGGTGTGGCCGGTTCCGCAGGGGGAGAGGGGCCTCCAGGCTGCAGGTTAGCCTCAAAACTTTTGGGTGGGACCCCACATGTGAGGAGAAAGGGAATCATGGACCAGGTGTACAGGCCAGAGGCAGAAGGAGGAGAGTGACTGACAAGAGAAAGCCCAGGCATCTTGCCTTGGGGCATAGCAACTTCTCTTACGCACTGATAAAGGCCAAGAACTAAGCCTGGTGGGAGCCTTGTGGGTGCATGGTGCTTCCTCACCCCAGTGTCTCCCTCCAATTTGCCTTAGGGCCCCTTTGCTTTGAGATGCCACGGGCTTTGTAACAACTTTCAAATGCTCTTACAGGAAGTCCACCAAGCTGCTGAGAGCATTTGGGGGCTGAGGAACTGAGGCCCTTCTCTCCTCAGCCAAAACAGCTTCATGTTTAGAAGAAAAAAAAATCACATGTACACACACAAACACATATAATAAATGCTATGAAATCTTGGAAGGTAGTGGTGATTATATTTTAAATAACTTCATTTATTAAATTAATAAATATTATGTATATCCTAAGTGGATTTCTATTTTATCATATAGTAACTATGTATTATTATAAAGTATAAATGTAAAATGTCTATTCATAAGGTGTTGATATATCCAAATTATATATAGATTTAAATAAATTTAAGTTATAGGTCATACTTAAATATATTTTCATTTAATTAGTATTTGTTGTTATAAATATGTTACATTTTAAAAAGTACTTTTCTTTCAGAAATAGTCTTTTTTTTTAAAAAAAAAAAGAACTTATTTATGCATTCAAGAACTGGGGTACAGGTCAGAGGTGCGGAGAGGAGAGCGGATTCACCATAGACAGAATGGGGAGCAGAACAGGCAGATTGACTGAAACCAACTGCTGAGGGGAGCAGCGGGCAAAACAGGAGAGGTCTGCTGCACCGTGTGGGTCAGCTGTCCTGCTGGGGATCGAACTCGTGCTGCAGTGGCTAGCAATAGTTTGAGACCTAACCCCTGTGCCACCAGGGAGGCCCCTCAGAAATAGTCTCAATGAGATGGTTCAAACTTAATGAGCAGAGACCTACAGTAGGAGAGACGAGAAGGGAGTGCCTGCATACACGAGACACACGGAGAAGCAAGTACAGAGGCTCTGGGTGAGCACTTGGTGCTGTGTTCAAAGAGCAGCTGGAGACAAAGTAGCTGGCATGGAGAGAGGGGAGCAGGAGAGCGAGAACAAAGGGAAGGTGGGCAGGCGTCTCGGACCCATGGAGAATTGCCTTTATGATCTTGGTTTGAGCAGAGACCTTGGTCTGATTTCTAGCCAGACAGCTCTGACTCCTGGTTGGAGAAGAGTGAGAATATGGTGAGGCTAGCGTGGAGGAAGGAGGTCTGGAGGAGACTGCAGCAATTCAGAGGTAGGTATGTTGGTGGCTTCGACCAGGTTGGTGCGGGTGGAGGTGGTGAGACTCCATCAGCCCCCCGGGTGGCTATTGGAGATACAGCTAACAGGGTTGCAGATGGTTGGGTGTGGGTGTGAAGGAGCAATCACAGGGCAAGCTCAGACATTTTGCTTGAGCCATGGAAGGATAGAGGTGCCATTTCCTGAGATGAGGAGGAACCTTGGTGGGGAGGATAAGGAGCGAGACCCGGGATGTGGGGATTAGAAGCACATACAGAACACGTAAAGCCATGAGACAGAAAGAGCTCACCGTGACAAGGGCAGAGGTGCAGGACAGAACTCTGAGAGGTGAGAGTACAGGCAGACGAGTGTAGCCCAGTCAAGGAGACTGGGAAGGAGCAGCTTGGAGAAGCCAACCAGGAGGCAAGGCATAGAAACTCAGCAAAAGAAACTCAGGAAGAAGCAAATGATCGGCTGAGTTAAACATTATTACTAAGAGACCAAGAAAGAATTGAAAACTGACCAGTGGATTTGGCAATGGTGTTGGTGTTCTCAGCAGGAGGCCCGTACCAAGACTCCAACCCCTATTTCCTGAGACAGGGCACATGTTTTCCCATCAGGAGTCTGTGAGTGGGTGGGTGTAGGCTGTGAGTGCTGACATTCCGGGCTGCTGCTAGCGCAGTGAGCTTACATTGGGACAAAGATCGTTTCCTCAATAGAAACGTGGTCAGAAGTCCTGCCAGCAGTGATTTTCCCATGTAAGACCCTTCGCTGGCTCTGGGTGAGAGAAGAGTGTACACCTTCCAGAAGCACTGCTAAGTGCCAAGAAGGGATTTAGGTTTGATCAAGCCCTGATCCCTCATTTGATGGAAGTGGAAGCAGGCCCAGGGAGGACCAGGGGCAGTTTAGTAGCGGAGCTGTTGGGGCAGAAACCCTCCCTCCAAGAGGCAATAGATCTTTTTAGATGAGACATTTTACAGGGAGGAAATTCCAAGCAATCCCAAATCTAATCACCTCCCACCTTGAAGACCTACACAAGCTGCTTGAAATTCTGAGCCCGTTTTGTCTTCTGTGCCAGAAGCTGTAGCATGATGCCATGAGATAATGCATGCTGCGAGGGTGATTCTGACTGCCACGTCAGAGTCCCCAGGGAGTTTAGTTAGGAAACAGGGTGCTGCTTCTAGAGACCAGCCCGGAGCAGAGAATTCCTTGCACTTTGTTCCAGAAGGTTTGGGCTAAGCGGACTGACTCTGGGAACTTTTCATGTTCTCTAGATACTTCCCTTGTTTCAGAGACTTTCTGAAACTTCGTGGGCCAGGCCCACCAAGAGGCCCTCTGGGTCAAGGCAGACGCTACAGCTCCGTGTGGGCCCCAGTTGACACAGGGCAGCCTCCTGCCTCTCTGGACACGGTTCCCTCAGCTCTCCTCTGCGGATGGGAAGCGTAGAGTCTCTGACCTCATTCGACCCCTCTGCTCTCTGCACAGATCAGTAACGCCATCCTCATCATCTTCGTCAGCTACTTTGGCAGCCGGGTGCACCGTCCGAGGCTGATCGGCATTGGGGGCCTCCTCTTGGCTTTGGGTGCTTTTGTCCTCACCCTCCCACACTTTCTCTCCGAGCCCTACCAGTACACCCTGGCCGGCGTGGGTAAGTTGCCTGCAGCCCCTGCTCCAAGGGGACAAGAGGGGGTGGGCACCCCACAACAATGTTGCAGATGCTCCTGGGGCAATGGATACTACTTTGGGCTGTTTGCTCCTTGCCGGCAAAAAAAAGTTTCCTTGGCTTCTATTGTTTTGGTTTTCCACAGAACACATTTGAAAGTCAGAACATGCAGAATTATGTCGAGCTGTGGAGCTTTATTATTCCAGCTCTAGCTTGCTGAGAAAGGGATGTGCAGCTGGTGGCTTATCTCCCCCTTCTGATTCCATGGGTCCCTGTGCTTCATGCCAGGGATAATCCATGATGCAAACGTGGGGACACATGCAAGCACATGTGTGGGAAGATGGTCAAAGTCGTCGTGTTATGCGCCCTGTGCATTTTCTCCAGGTTTCACATGTGTTTATCACATCATGACACTTGTACACTCATCTGACACGCTCTACATTGCAGTGCTCACACATTGCAGGGGAGAGAAAAGGTCAAAGATGAGGACTTAGCATCAGATGTTCAGACTTCCCAAGGACACTAGTCCGTTAGGGAGAGACAGCCTCGGGTCACTTGATTCTTAGCCAAATAGCTCCTCTGTGACTCATTCTCAGTACTACTCCATGTAGCAGGGTGAAAGATATGAGAGCTTCCATAGTTCATAAATGCAGAATTAAATTATACTGAGCTGCCCTGTAAGAGCGCCATTTTCTTTAAAAATGATTTTGTTAATATGAAAACTTTTGAATTATGCCAAAAGTAAAGAAAGTAAAATGACACATATAGACTGCTCACTAAGATTTTCCAGTTTTCCTTTCACTTTTCCTTTGACTAGCTCTCTGGCGACAGTTCACGTACTGTTAGTTGAGCCATTTATGTGTACAATTCAATGGTTTACTGCGTCACATTCTTTTTTAATGGTGGTAAAATATTTGCCATTTTAACCATCTGGGTGTCACCTGCATCTCCTTTATCAAAAGTGATACAATTCAGTGGAATGAATTACATTCAGAGTGTGGTGCAATTGTTTTCTTCTTTGGACAGCCAGTGCTGTCCTTCAACCCCTGGGGGCCCCATGCTTTCTTACTTGGAATCTGAGTGTTCTTTGTAAGTTTTGGATACAAGTTACATATTGGATATGAGATTTGTAAATAACTTCTTCCGTCTATCTTTCACATTCTTCCTCCACTCCCATCATCCCTTATACCATTTTGATCCTTTCTCCATCAACCTCCCCTTAATTTAGAAAGTTAACTTTGCTTATTAATGACCAACAGTTTTCAGAAGCATTTTGCTTTGTCCAGTTAGCCACAACGTGTTCATCTTTGTAAATTGTTATAAATGACAACACTTTTCCTTGAGACTAAATACTAATGCGCTGTGTATCTATGCCATATCTTCTTGATTTGGTTTTCTATCATTGGGCACTTAGATTGTTCCCATAGCCTTGTAAAATGATTCTACAGTAAATATTGTAGACCATATAATTTTTTGTGTGTTGGTGGGCCCATATTCTTCAGATAAATGCAAGAATAATACCTCTGGGTCATCAGGTATCTATTTCCATTTTTACTTTTTTAAAGATAGACCTAGATCATTTTCTAAAATGGTTGCACTAGTGTTCCTTTCCCAACTACATTATCACAGGGCTCTTCTTTCTCTGCATCTTCTCTGGCATTTGTTGAGGAACTTTTTAACATGTGTCATTCTTAGATGTGGGATGTGGGAGATGGTATCTCACTGTGTGGTTTTGCCTTCATTTTTTTCACTGAATGTGATGATGAATGGTTTTGCATGTGTCTATTGGCTTCTCGATATTTCCTGGGTGAATTGTCTATCCACTTAGCAACTGGGCTTGGGGGGTGTTTTTATTGTTAAATTGAATAAGCTTTTATATAGTTTAGATATTAACCCTTTGTTGGTTGCATAATGTGTGAATTTTCTCCTACTCACTAAGCTCTCTTAAACCTACTTATATTTTCTTTCATTGTATAAAAGCTTTTCAATTTAAGGTAATTCTAATTGTTAGTTTTTTTTTTTGCTTTTATTTTCTTTGTTGTAGGAGTTGAATCTCCAAAAATATCTTTATGATTGATGTCATGAAATGTGCCAATATATTTTCTACATATAAAGGCTTTAGTCTCTAATCCATCTTGAATTTATGTTGTGCATGGAGTTAGAGAACAATCCAACTTCGCTTTCTACATGTGCCTGTTCAGTTTCCCAGCACCATTTGTTGAAGAGACTCTGCTTTCTCCATTGCGTGGTAGTGGGTCCTATATTATGAATTGGGCACCAATATGCATGTGGGGTTTTTTCTGGACTTCCTGTTTTGTTCCACTGAGCCCTGTGTCTATTTTTATTTCAAAACCATATAATTTTTAAAAGATTTTTTTAATTTATGCATACAGAACTGGGGTACAGGTCAGAGTTGCAGGGGCAGTGAGAGGATTCACCAGAGACAGAGTGGGGAGCAGAACAGGCAGATCAACAAAGTACACTGCTGAGGGGAGCAGCAGGTGGGTCAGGAGAGGTCTGCCGCACCATGTGGTTCACCTCCGGGGCTGAAGTGGCTTTAACTTCTTAATGCTGTGCTTTAATCTGCTGCGCCACCAGGGAGGGCCCTTCAAGACCATATTGTTTTAATAACTGTTATTTATAGTATAAAGTCAGTTGACATGATGCTTCTGTTGCACTTCTTTTTCCCTCAGGATGCTTTAGTTATTGAATGCATTTTATTACTCCATAGAACTTATAACATTTGTTTTTCTATTCTGTGAAGAATAGTGTTGGTATTTTAAAGGGGATTGCATTGCATTTATACATCACTTTTCATGGAATAATCATTTTGATTGTATTTATGACAATCATGAACACAGAATGTTTTCTATCTCACAATGTGTATCTTTTAGAACATCTCATACTTTTCATTGTACAAGTCTTCCACTTCATTGGTCAGCTTAATTCCTAGGTATCTGATTCTTTTTGATGTGATTGTGAATGGGATTATTTTCCTAATTTTTCTTCTGTTATTATTTATGTTCAAAATGCAATAGATTTTTATATATTGATTTTGTAAACTTCCACTTTGCTGTATTCTATATTATACCAGCTCATAATACATCATGTCATATTATATTGAACAATGATAGCTTTACTTCTTCTTTTCCCATCCGGATTTAGCTTAAGCTAAAATCTCTAACAATTAAACAGAAGTAACAGTGTGTTGGGCCTCCCTATTGATGCAAGGGGTTAAGTCCCAGCTCTATGAAGCTATCCCTAGCCACTGCAGCACGAGTTCCATTCCCGGCCAGGGAGCTGACCCATACAGTGCAGCAGACCTCTCCTGTCTCTGCGCTGTTCCCCTCAGTAGTGTATTTCAGTCAATCTGTCTGTTCTGCTCCCTACCCTGTCTCTGGTGAATCCTCTTACCACCTGCCCCCCATCACCTCTGGCCTGTACCCCAGTTCTTGTATGCACAAATAAATAAATTTAAAAATAAAATAAAAAGATGTAACAGCGGGCATCCTTGCCCTATTCTTGATATTAAAGGGAAAGATTCACTTTGCCACCATAAACTGTTCCATGGACTGTAGATTTGTGATATATGGGTTTTATTTTACACAAAAGGACAACTTTTATTAGTTTTATGTGCAGAAGATGCAATAGCATACACTTAGCTTAAGTTTGACGGCAAGTTCTCTCGTCTTCACCTTTGCCAGCTTCGAATGCCAGCCACAGATTTTGGACCCAGGACTTTGCCTTCCAGAGAGAGTGGATGTCAGCATATCTGTCATTGCAGAAATGACACTGATGCTGCTGGGCCGGGTTTCCACTCTTTTCCTCTTCCTTGTTGTATAATTTAGGTGTCTGATATCTCTAGATTTTTGTTTTGTTGTTTTCTTGTTGCTTTAGTATAGCCCTTTTAGTAGTTCTTTCATGTCCAGTTGGTAATGATACCCTTAATTTTTGCTTTTCATTGAAAGTCCTTATTCTTCCGTATGTCTTGAATGATCATTTTGCAAACTGAAGTATTCTAGGATGGACTTCTTTTTCTTTTTTAAAGACTTATTTATTTATGCATACAGAACTGGAGTACAGTCTAGAGGTGCAGGGCGGTGAGAGGATTCACCAGAGACAGAGTGGGGAGCAGAAGAGGCAGATGGATGAAGTGCACTGCTGAGGGGAGCAGTGGGCAAGACAGGAGAGGTCAGCTGTGCCATTTGGGTCGCCTCCAGGGCCAGCGATCAAACTCACACTGAAGGGGCTGCAGCTCGCTTGCAGTGATGTGTCCTAACCTGTTGTGCTACTGGAGAGGGCCGAACTTCTTTTTCTTCAAGTAATTTAAATTATCTCCTGCCATTCTCTTCCTGCTGGAAGATTCCCAGGGTAAGTCCACGGTCAGTATAATAGGTGTTCCCTTAGAAAGAAGGTTACTCTTCTCTCTTGGATGTTTTTAATATTTTCCTTGTTTGTCTTTCAAAGCTTAATTATAATGTGTCTTAATCTATGTCCATCTGCTATTATTTTGTTTGGAATGCTTTGCCCCGCTTGGATCACAGTTCATTTCCCAAGTTGAGTTGGTTCTCAGCAATTATTTTTTAAAATACAAACCTATGCCTTTCTGTTTCTTACTTTTCTCCTTCTGGAACCCCCATAATACAGATGTTACTTCTCTTTAAGTTATCCCAATGGGCTCTTACACTATTTTATTTATCTTTATTCTTCTTTCTCTTTGTTGCTCTACTAATATTTGTGTGTTTTCAGCTATTGTGCATCAGACTTGCTGACTCAATTACTTGTGTTTGTGTACAAGTACAGCCTTCTATCGTATTTTTTATTTGGTTATAGGATTTTTTTTAGAACCATGAGTTCTATTTGTAACACTCTCAAATTTTCTTCTTGATTGTGTTCCTGGTTTTCATCTTCCATTGTTTTTCTCAATTTGACTAGTATGGTTATAACTGTTACTTTAAACTACCCCCAGGCAAATTCCACAGTTT